ACCCAAGGCTTTCTGTGCAGGCAGTTGAGGGGAGCTGTGATAGCAACGCGTTTGGGAGACCTGTCAGTCTTCTGTAAAGATGATGCAGGGACCAAAATCCAGGCAGATAGCTTTTGCTTCTATTCATCTCTCCGAAAGATGCAACTGCTAGTCATATCCATGCATTAATTTGCAGACAGATCTTTTCTAGAGGCTGCAGAAGCAGCTCTCCTTTGCTCTTCAGGGCTGGACCAGGGGAAGGGCAGTCCCCCGCCGCCCTCACTCACAGGCGGGTTTCCTGGACTGGCGAAATGGCAGGGCTCGAAGCTCCCCCAGCCCCCAAGGAAATCACAGGGCAGGTATCCCAGCACCTGGCCCTGCGTGGGCGTACAGGGTCAGCACCCCAAAATGGCCAGTGGGGTTCCCCTGCCCATTGTAGGGCAAGACTTGTCAGGATCCCCTGGGGAATGGGTGAAGTTGGGCTTAGAGAGAAACCACTGGGTATACCATGGTAGCTATTTCAGGTGAGACCTATCACCATCTAAACTACTGAGCGTTAGCTGGAACGAGAGCTCACAGTGACACCTTTGGACACCATTCCATGCCTGCACGTTGGCATCTGGTGCCACATGAGATACATTCGGGTGATGGAGACATCCACGCAGGTCTGCCACACGTCACACGAGACGTATTGGGTGCCTTCATCCTCGATATCTTCAACCTTACCAAGTAGCAGCTGGAGACAAGGAAGGCTCCTCAAAGCACCTAAAAAGTCTCTGCGTGCTTGCGTGTGGGCAACTGAATTAATCCCCTTTTGTTATGCATATGATTATTAATTGAGACATGAGAAGTATGACTGCATAGTACTGAGCGAAGAAAGGAGTGGTGCAGTCACTGCATACTCGGTGTGGGTTTCAACATCGTATTTACGCGGAACGAAAGAACTAGCTGCTGACACACAGCTCTTCTGGCGTGACGGGGGAGTTCCTGGCTGAAATCACATTATCAGCTTGGCCCTCTCTAGTTGGAGAATAAACATATAAAAGTAACTTCGCCCAGTTACAATGCAATTTCAAGTAGTGGATGAATGCCAGCGCATTCTGTTAGGAAGTCACAGGAACTGGGATTCACATCGCCTCATTTTAAATGGATAAACTGAGGTATGTAATTTGTACTGGGCATCACAACTTCATCTATGAGCAATGGAGAAAGACGAAGAGTTCCTGTTATTCCAGGTAAGTTCCAATTTCTGTCATTGATTACAAAGAAAACCAAACATTCAGCTGACGCAGCAGAGGCATCAATATTTCAGTGAACTGCATTCCTGGAAACGAATGCCTTAGTAGCACTGAAAGCCTCGCTGAAGGCAAGGTGTCATCCACCGCTCTGCCCTGACCAGACCTCGTCATCACAGAAAGCATCTTTCAGGCAGTGTAACGCCATGCAGACTGTTCCCCACCATCTCCTCCACCTGCCATGCCTTCCAAAAGGACTCATTCCATGTTTTTTCCTGAAGTGAAGCTGGCTGGCCTGTAGCGGCCTGGGTCATCCTGAGCCTCTTTCAACAACGGTGCAAAACTTGCTTTCCTCCAGTCGTGAAGGCTCTCCCCTAGTCGCCGCGACTTTTCACAGCTGACAGCACCTCTGCAAGAACATCAGCCGGTTCTCCCAGCACCCCAGGCTGCAGCCCGTCCAGCCCCGTGGACTTGCACAGTTAAGATCCAACAAGCAAACGCTGGATGAATCCTCATGGGTTCCACTGCATGTCAGCATAGACACAAGCGCTGGTGAGATGGCTCCATACCCTCAGTGTCTCCTCCTCTGGTTAATGAGCTTGCCTGGCACTGGCCGTGAGCTAGTACACAAAAGGGATACCCTGTGGGGTGGGAGAAATTGGGAGCTGAGCTGGAGCAGACCCAGCCAGCCAAGCATGAAGGATGGCACACCCAGGGTTGATGAGCACTGGAGGATGCACAGGGATGCTTCTTGGCCGAGTTCGTGCAGCCAGTGCTGGAACCAGCAGCTCCTGCTTGAGGTGCATCAGGTGAGGGAGGAAGGGCTAGCGTGTTCAACCACTCGAGGATCTTCCAGTCATCGTTTCCCCAAGACACCAAGCTTTTACTGAGTGCTTCCCTCCATCCTTACCTCCTGCTCTGCTCCAATTAACCTAGCTTGGGACTGGCAAGTGGCTCTTTTCTGGTACCTGTCCTCAACCCTCTCATTTGCAGCCTGAGGAGCAAGGAGGTCCTGATGGCTCTGCAAAGGGCTGGACTGAAAGTCATGGCCCAGAGCATATGGTCCATCACCTCTTTGGGAGAAGGTCTTCCTCCATGCGTCCTTGAGCCGTTGTGATGGAAGGCTTTTTGCAGCAAGACAGGTGCAAAGAAATGTAACTCTTGACTAAATATATATTACATATCTACCACTGACCAGAGTGATTTTTTTAGCTAGTAGGGATCTCAAAAGAAAGTTATGTAGAAGATGTACTCCTGCGTGTCCATATGTGTATGGTGTATGCGTGTAACACAGAGGACATTTAAGGGAATAATATTGTACAAACCCAGAAGAGTTTTGGTTTCATTGTCTAATGCATCACCCACATTTAGCGCAAGAGGGAAATGAGAGTCAAAGAATTTGCGAAGTGTAACTGAGGCCCAGCATCCCCCGCAAGGGAAGAGGCACACTGTATTTGTAGAGACGCACATTCGTTGCACACGTCCAGCACGCTGTCAGCGGTATGGTGTCTTACAACGGGTGGGTGCTCCTCCTGCTCGCCCAGTGCCACGTGCTGTCCTCTTCAGTGGGACAGGCGAGGCGGTGGTGATGAATGCTCCTGCTGTAACTGTGCCGGGACACGTTCCGTGTCCTTTATTATCTTTTTTGATGGGGTTGTAACAGTCAAACCCCTCCCTGTTTGAGGGAGAGGTATCCATTCCCTCTACCCAGGGAGGGTTATCTGTTCCCGAATGCCCAGGCAATCGCGAGCCCCATGTGACAGGCTCTACGGGTTGACACCCAACCAGTCCTTGAGACTTGGGACTGAGTCTGTGGCCTAGAACAGCCACTTGGGCCCCACATCTTAGGGACGAGGGGGATCAGGAGTGGCTCCAGAGCTGTGGGGACGTCCATGGGACCCTGGGGGTACCACGAATTCCCTGTAGTCCTGGCAGGGGCCTCACTAGAGGAGGAGAGGTGTCAGGGCTTCCCTGGGGGAATCTGGGAGCCCTGGGGGTATCGGGCATCCCCATGGGTATGGGGTGTCCTCAGGAGATGTCACAGTCCCCAGTTCCTCACAAGCATTGCAGAGGTGCGCAGCGGGATCTTGGGGCACCCCAGCCAGTCCCTCGTTAGTGGGGTGGGGGTGTCAGGGGCATCCCCAGCGGTCACTCACCAGTGGGGCGGTGGATTCGGTGTTAGCTTTGGGGCCAGGCATGTGCAGGCGAGGGCCAGGGGACGCCTCCTCCTCTGCGGTGGCGGTGGGGTCGGCCAGGCTGAGCAGCAGCAAGTTGGTGCAGGCGAAGGTTCGCTTCAGGCTGCAGCAGTTTGGGGGAGGAGCGCTCCTGGGGAACTCCGTGCTGGGGGGACTGACACACCGTGGGGCAGAGGTGTGTCAGGGACTCCCATGGCCATGGGAAGGAAGCACAGGTCTCAGCGCCCCTGCGGCCCCCACAACCCCTCTACTAGCCCCATCACCCCCCTGCTGCCACTGATAACCCTCAGTAGCCCCCATTAACTCCTCAGTCTCCCCCTCGACTCTCTTACCTTCCCCAGTGCCCCCCAACAGCCCCTGCTGACTCTAGGCCACCCCAGGGACCCTCATGCTTCCCCAGTGCCCCCCTCCAGAGCCTCCCAGTGATGACCTGGAGGACCCTACTGCCCTCTCACAGCACACAACTGCCCCTCCACTTGGTTCCCCAGTTGCCATCCCACCCTGAGCTGCCTTTTACCCGAGGAAAGAGATGGATGCGGGCTTGGCGAGGGCCTGGGGGGCTCCTGGGCCTAGCAGGGGCCTGGGGGCTGCGGGCTGAGCATGGGTGCCCGATGTGGGGTCCATGGCCTCCCTGATCTCCTTCGACTGCAGCAGAGTTTTCACCCCTGCATTGGCCATGGCCCTGTTGGTGGGAGTCCCTGTCAGAGCGGTTACGAGGGGTCTGGCTGCCCCCAGGCACAGCAGGAGGGCTCCTGCCTGTTACCTTGACCTCACAAACACTGGCTATACTGGTCACATGTGGTTCCATGAGGTCATGAGGGACTTCTGCCCCAGCCCCTCCCCTTACGTACCTCAGGTTACCCTTGGATTGCTGTTTAACCATTTCTATCCCCAAAGTGGCCACCAAAATACTTAGAATCATAGAATATCTCAGGTTGGAAGGGATCCATAAGGACCATTCACTCCAACTCCCTGCTCATCAAGAGGCCAGTCTTCCCCAGCATGAAGTGTCCCAGGTATGTGGGGCCAGTGAGGGCAGGAAGACTCCAACTCAGAAAGGGCTGAAGACAGAGAAGGAAGCGTAAAGAATTTGGCAGCAGTGCCACTTCTGCTACCCTCTCTTGGCAGAGAAGTGGGATGACAGAGGCAGAAGCTTAATTTTCACTGGAAGTCTCTGTCAGAACTGGTTGGTAGACAAGGGCTTGCTAGACTGGAAGAGGAGAGCCGTGGTGTGGGTGTGCAGGAGCTCACCACGACACCCTTCCTTTGAGCAGACTACTCCACAGTCCCCTGGGACATACAGCGTCTCTCCTGTTACTATGACGCCCACATTGTCCTGCTGCCAGATCTCATAAGGTCAGATAAAAAGTTGAGGAAGGGGGATTGGAGATCACCAGGCCTCAGCAATAAAGCTCACCAAAGGCAAAAGAAACTCCTGTATGAGTAGCGACTGGAATAATGTGGACTAAGGAGAAAGTAAATGACAGAAAAGCTGAGGCGATGCAGAATAAAGACTGTTTTATAGTCTATAGAGATAAAGAAACTGCAGTTCTCGCCTTGTTCGCTGAAGGAGGAAATCAGCTTTTAGCCATCAGTGGTGCTCATCGGGTTCTTCTTTCAGAGGTGGAATAATTTCTCCTGTCTCTAAAATTCTGTCCCCCTGATGGAATGAGAGATCATGGTGAGCATTTCCTTGTACCCTCAGTCTCTGCCTTCACACAGCACAGTCTGTCAATTAAGCTGTCACTGTCCCCACTTCCAGACAAAAAAAAAAAAAAAAAAAAAAAGAAAAATATCTTTCTACAACTTACTCAGAACACTCTCATTCACTCAGCATTTCCCAGGATGCTGAAATAACATTACAGCCAAATGATCTGAAATCTGTACTTGCTTTACCCCTTTCTTTTCAGCTACAGAATAGGAACGAAACATTTCGAGACTCCATTGTTTTAAAAATGTATACTGGACTTACAGCCCTGCCTAACCACCTTCAACACGGCGCAGCTTTAAGTGAGTCTCCAAACCCATGGCCTGTAACCCATGAAGAGCTACGTAATCCCTCAAAAATCAAGCTGAGGCCCAACTGCTGTTTGTTACAGCTTCAAGTGCTGTCTTGGCCTACAGAGCTGACCTAACTCAAGTGAATACTTAGGCTGAAGTCAGAGGCGCACAGTTTGACTTTCTGTATGTTGTTATATGGTTGTTAGGGATGGAACGTTTTATAATTTTATTTCAGCTAAAACACAATTTGGCAGGTGTTACGCAAAAAATGTGCAGCTGTCAGAAAGAGCAGAGCTAAACTTCTACGGGAATATTTGCCCACTGACTTGCTACACCAATCAACGAGTAATGGCTCAGAGCAGCCTGAAAACAGTAAAGACCAAACAGTCTGACACTCTCCACTTCATAAAACTCATCCCAAGCTGAGATGGCATGACGTGATCTCTCTGGGGACGTCTGAGTGCAGGGGACCTTCACGGACGCCTGGGACCAAGCTTGTGAGGGCAGAACCGACACGCTCAGCGGCAAACTCCTCCCAACTTCTGACAATCACCACTCCTGTCAGCGAGGAGAAGCAGAACCGCTCCTCTCTGTCATTCCATGCATTATTAATCACGCTTTCACAGAGGCTTTAAACACCCAAACCCTTTCACAAAGACGCTGGTACTGCACGGTGACGAATGCTTGCATTCCCATGAGGGAACGTTTCTCTTTTCTGCCCAGGATGCACGGTGCTGTCAGCCAGGTACTCGAAGGTCTGCCACTACCACTGAAACAGGGACTGTCTGCTCTGAGGACAAGATGAAAACTGCTCAAAAATACTGGAACTGTGCTGCTCCAAGGCAGCCTGACCACCGTTATCAAGCTCATCCATCTAGAAATTCTCCCTGCACAGCTACTGCATAACCCACACTTCTCCCCAAGTCACCGTCACCCCTTTTCTGCCTGTTTTACAAAGCTGAAAGATAAAACAAGTATTAACGGACTTACTGGGAATATCCGTGGATTTGACATAACGACACCATGTGGCGTTTTCTGAAAGTGGGGAAGGGGAAGAACAGAGGAAAAAGGTAAAGAAAAAGGAGTGTTACCCAGATGAAATACAAAGGATTTGCAAAATGGGGAAAAGGACCCTTCTAAAACACAACCTCTACTGAATACAAGGCTCATTAAGCCGGGTTCTTTCCCCTAGTTGAAGAAATACCCAAGGTTAATAAAATTACAGCTCCCAAGCCAGGCAAGACTGTAGAAGTGGAAGGTCTGTCCCGTTGTAAGTGCACTGACCATTCCCCTTCCCCACACCAGCAGCCGCAGTCTGGTTACCCCCAGGGTCACTGTTCCTCCAGGAAAGCAAGAATTAAGACACAGCTTTCCAGCAGCACGGTCAAAGCCAGTCACCACCAAAAAGATCACAAAAAACTCCTACGTGTGGCACCCAAGCAAGGAAAAACAAGCGGTGACCAGACCTTGGGAAGTCACTTTACCTTAACCAGAGTGTTCATACAACCCCTGAGGCACCTGCTCGTTTCATTGGCCCCCCGCTTTCAGAGCTTCTTACGGGGTTTAACCCAGATTCCCCCCACTCTCCCTGAACCCCCTTCTTCACGCGTCCTTCGGGGGCCGCACGCACCATGACGTGGTACTTCACGTAGTAGAGGATGATCCAGGCGGGGACCAGGACCCGCGTCAGGATGAA